GGGTGAGGGGTTTCGGGTTTAGGGTCACCCTGAATGAAAACATGCATACCATCAGCGACAACTTTGTAGTCAGGGACAGCAATGCCACCTTCACTAGTGAGCCCTGCAGTCTCTAGGCAACGTTAATATAGGGGCCTTAACAATTAGACTAGGGCTTCGGGACCCATTATACTAGAGTTACAATAACGAACCCCAAATAGTATAGGTAATTACTAAGGCCCCTATACTAAGTTACTAAGGAGTTCAATCCAAGGATGCTGCTTGCTGGTAACAAGGCCCTCAAACTCAACGTGAAAGACACCCTTGTAAACCCTAAATTACAAAACTCCAACACCCGCATATGGGTGGTTGTCAAAATTATGGTCCCCTTTTGGGTCCTTATTATAATACGGCACCTATTATTTAGGGTACCCCAAAAGGGACCATAGACAACTACCTATATCAAAAACAGCAAGCTCCTAAACCTCAATGAAATTATGATCCTGCCATCCCCTGCCGAGTGCTGCGCATCTAGTACTACCGGGTTCGTCTCGACACCACTGAGGAAATCAGGCCCACCTGGACCAAGTTGCAGGATTCATTCGGGTTCAGGGTTTAGGGTTTAGGGTTTAGGGTTTAGGGTTTAGGGTTTAGGGTTTAGGGTTTAGGGTTTAGGGTTTAGGGTATAGGGCGTAGGGTTTAGGCCCAGATTCTGACACCTCGGGATTCTGAAGAAGGAGGATGCAAAGACGAAGCCATAGAGGGGAAGAACGGACAAGTGCAAGAGTGCCTCCGTTGCAGCAAAAGTTGCTCAGAGAATGACGACCCTGCTCTTTGGAGTCTAGATCAAGGTTCAGGATTTCGTTTCAGGGCTTAGGCGAAAGAGTGACAATTCCGCCTTTTTCTCCCAGGCGACGGACCCCTGCCAACCCCCCACCCCCCCGACAGCGCCATGTTGAGTCAACCCCAAACTCGAGGGGGGAGCGGGAAAAGAAGCACATAGGCAAAACAGTCTAAGGGGATCTTCCATATCCCCTCCTAGAGCCCTAATTAGGCCTCTTTTCCTCGGAACCGGGCCTTATGAGAATTAGTGACTATATTCCTAGGAATGCCTTGACTTGTTTATTTCTATTCAGGCCCCTACATTACCTCAACAACAGATCCCTTGACATGTGCGCGGTGTCTTCAGCCCTCATGCCAAGTGCAAACCTGCACTCATCCAAACCCCTATAACCAACAACCAAAGTTCCATGCCCTGCCACCTAGCTTCTGGCGCTCTTCCAGGATGATGCCAGTCAGTCCCTGGGTGATGTTTTTTGGGGCTCTTGAGTTTAAGCTTTGTGGCTTGTTCTCAAGACTTTAGGGCTCAAGGTTTCGGGCCAGGGTTCAGGGACGAAGTGCCCTAAACGCCCGGGTTTAGGGCTTTTGGTTGAATAACCCAAACCCCTGAACTCAAACACCTAACAGCATCCTTGAGTTGCAGCGTTCATGGTCTAGGAGTGTGGGGAACTTCAGCTCTGGCCCTCTGTAGCACAGCCCAGATCCGCAAAACTTGAAACCTCAAGCCCCCAAAACCCAAAGCTCTCCACCCCAGGGGTTCCTTAAAGGGTTCTACAAGGGATAGGGGCCTTCATAATTAGAACAGGGTTTTGGGCTGGACCCGTACTTAGGCAAACCTTCAACCCTCCAACACCTCTATCAAGCTTCAATGGCCAAAAAAACCCATGAAATCCGACTCACAAGCCATCTGAAACCCTATGAATCCGTACATAGAACCCTATGACCCCCCCCCCCC